CCCCAAAACCCCAAAACCCCAAAACCCCAAAACCCCAAAATTTATAGCTGATACTGAATTATTTTATTTGGCAGGATCTATCTGGATTTTCAAGGAAGGACGCCCACTTTTAAAGCTCAATGGGGATTAGTACTTAATATAATCTCTAAAATTTCTATAATCATTATCCTTCCTGCCATCCCGAGGGTTCTGGATCCGCCCCATGGTCTTGGACCTATAAATCTCAGGAGTCTCCTTAGAGTTGGCCTTCTTGAACTTCTGGTATTTATTCAAGATATTCTTCAAGTTTATCTTAGTTTCATTTTTAGAGTAATCTGTAGTCAGAATTCTCTGAATTATCTGCTTCTTATGGCCCGTATCGGACGCAGGGGTTTCTATAGCAGGCTCTGAAGGTAAAACCACACTTTTTGGTGGCATTGAGACTACCTATAAAAGTCTTAGTGTTTCAACGAGTTGGTGGCTAAGATTAGCCGAAATCATATTGTAAAAATACAGAGGAATTTACACATTCTGATGCATAATCTTCCAAATGTGTAATAAGCATTTTGTATAATAAATCGTCTTAGAAAGATGTAAAGGAGAACAACTTTGTGAAACCAAGAAAATGATTCGTACATTAATAGAGGAAGACTTGGTCTTTCTCTTGCTCTTATTTAACCTTTGGCTTCTTAAATCCATTCGTAAAGGTGATATTCTTAGAAGTATGTAAAGGAGTTTCATTCTTTAAGTTCACTCTGAGCTTGGAACCTATCATTGAGACAACTTGCCCTGTTGAGTTTAATTTTGTTGTCGCAGTGTAGATTCTTTCTTCATCTTTTGTAGTCTAAAAATACTTAATTCTTCTCTCAAAACATTGAAGTAGAGTTTGCAACATAATTGAGGCATAGAAGATGCTTACAGAAATAGTCTTTCAACGGCTTTCTTTTCTCTTTTCTAGCTCCTTTTTAATACTCACAAGTGGAAATTTGGTAGTGAGTTTTGGAGGAGTATTCTCAACCTCTATAGACTTATTAACCCGTCAGGATCAGAATTGTTCTTACTTTTTCTGTCTAATCTTGAAAGAGTGAATGATCTGACGTTATTAATTTTCTTTTCTAGCTTGTCTAAAATTGTTCGAGTTTTTAGTAATAAGAAATCTTACTTTGTTGTTCTCTAAGATCTTTGAGAATACTTTTGTTTCCCTTTCTGCGACTGATTTGTAATTTCAAGTCAGTTTCTTTTGGTCTGTCTAGGTAAATTTTAAGTAAAGCATTACAAATATCTTATTCAACCAAGAAAGTTCGATTATTACCTCTCTGTCTGACTTGAAAATTGAACCTTGAAGTTGTGTTCCTCTGAGTGCTCCTTTCTTTTGTAGTCCCTCGGTCTTCTAGGACAGAACTCTTAAGATTTTGGGATATCTTAGGCACACTGAGACTCATATTTCTGTTCTTACAGGTAGTTTTCTTATATTGATCAAAGCTGTATGCTAATAAAATCCATTTCTTCCGTTTATTCCCTGCTTGGTTTTCAGCAGGCAAGTTATTACAAGTAGTAACTATAGGGATCACAGAATGGATTTACTAGACTTTGGTCTTGCCTTCAAGTTCAGCATTGGCTTAGTATTGTTCAATAAAGACTTTCTATAATTTTGAATTATGGCCATGAAATTAAGAAGTAAAGGACAGATAGTAGTACCTTATCAACTTTCGTTGGTTGAATATTTTTCGCTTTTTGAATCTCTTCTTACTGTCATTGCCGTGAATCATCCTTACCACCTCTGTCTTCTTGATGTGAGCTTGGCTACCAGCTGATTTGTTCTATTCAAATTTTATAGGCTCTTCATAGTGCTAATATAAGTATTCCTTATCAAAATTCTCAAAAAATCAATGCTAACCCACCAATTTTTTCATTTATACACGAATGACACCACTTATCTTCCTAATTTCTCCTATAAATCGCCAAAAGAGCCCTTCATCCCCCAAATCTCTACCTCTATCTACTCGAAACCCACTTGAAAGCCTTACCATATTAATTATTCCAATTTCCAAAATAAATTTTGGGGTTTTGGGGTTTTGGGGTTTTGGGG